TTTTTAAAGAATGGATTTTCAATGCAACAAATATGTATATAAAATATAAATATATATTTTTTAATTTTTTAATATATATATATATATATATATTTACTGTATATATATATTATATTTTTTTTATATATTTACTACAAATAATATTTAGCAGACTCTTGGTTATGACAGTGTTGGACATAAAAAGACATATAAAAACATATAAAAAGACAATCATGAATTTATCATTTCGAGGTGCAGAAGCTATCATTAACACAGCACTGTGTACATTGTAACATCTAGTAGATTTTATGCACAATGAATGTGGCCTTCACCAGTTTTTGGCTTGAGTGTGCAGTGTGTGTGTGCGCGCGTGTGTGTGAGTTTGGAGGGAGGGGCTGTTTCCTCGTGTCTTTGTTGAGAAGTTTCAGTCAGTCTGTGGTTTATAGAGGACCGGAAGGCTTGAATGAAGAAAACTGCTCTTATTTTTTGTCTCGTTGTCCTGGGATTATTTGTCCTCATTTTAACAGACAGAAGGTGAGATTACTTTGTCTTGACAATGATCACACTGCTTACCACTGCTAGTCTTCTGTTTATTGGTTAACTTGGTCTGTTTAGATGACAGTATAATTAAACTTGGCAACAGCACATTAGTGGAGGACGCTAGAAGAGCTTTTATGTATTTTCACACAAATTAGGCTAGTTATTCTTTCTTCTCTGTGACAGTGGTTACTTAGAAAATTAAAGGTTGTTTTATAGAATAATTGCAATCAGAATGCATTAGTGAGTATTTCATATGATATTTTGCTATTTTAAGAATTTGTCTCAGACATTTGGTACCCATGTCTGCTTTATTTTTTAAATTCTCATGGGTTTGTTTGTCAACATGTATGAACAAGTTCAAGCAGTTCACATTTTTCAGTCTTGTTAGTTTGCTTTTTTCTTCTGGCACCATTGCATGTTTAAGGAAATGCATTTAACATATGTGCATTTCTAACTTCCTTCACGTTTATGTATTGCCTATCTTTGTTCCTCTGTTGCATGACAAGCTCTGAAAACTTTTGCTAACTAATCCTGCTCCTTATTGTCAGTTCCCACCACATTTTGCAAACTAAATGAGCTGTTCTTATCTGTTCTGTATTGGTTGGTACTTTCCCACAAGGTTTGTATTGATAGTACAGTACCAAAGTGCAGCTATATTCAAATATACAGTATGGTGGTTTTCCCATAAACTGAAAATTGTTCTATTCAAATTAAGGTTGATTTATTATGTTGTAACTGGATTTTATGTGTCAAATTTACATGTACAGAAATGTAAACACATCTGGAATGGTTTTAGTGACCAAAGGTTAGACATTCTTTTTTTTTACTGGAACAAACTGCTGTTATTAAACTCAGATGTTGATCTGATTTAAGCCATAATCTTGAACTGGGCTCTCTGTATATGTCAGGTCAAACCACAGGCTTTTTTTTCCCCTTTCTGTACTTAGCCAGGAATGCCAAAGTTGGCACACGCCTGTGTTTTAGACTCTGAGAATGCGGAACATTTGTGATTTTTCCCATGCAAACATTTTAGCAGCAATTATTATCATAGTTTACATTCACTAGACCACACATGGTTTGATATCAACCTAGCTCACTTTTCTACTCATTATAGCTGCAAAAACCCAGCGAGACATTTTTAATGGATCTGCACGCAGGTGTTTCTCTGTTATGATGTGCACTGTTTCGATTTCATCTGCTAGAGGATTTTGGGAAGAGGTTGCCATGGTAACTCAGAGGCCAGTTATATAGTCTGAGCAAGGCCATGCCATGAGGTACACTATTCACCTGAGGATGTTTTCGTTGTTTTGTTAGGCAGATGCAATATGCTTACACAAACACACTGAGGTAGACAATAGCCACGTTCACACATCAATGCAATTTTTTCATGTTTACAACTAAATGGCGTGGAGTAACTGCGTCAGCTCCTTTGGAGCTTTGTTTCAAACAGTTTGACAGCATACTTCTGTTAGAGTCAATCATCAACCTTGTACATGAACAGTGTTTTTCACATGTAGCATCAGATCTTTTCCGGTAATGTTGCAACTTCTTCATTTTGACAGCCGGCTCTCATCACACAGGACCTCTAAATAGAAAATGTTGATGAACGTACTGATAAGACTGAATGTGTGAAAACGCATAATGTTAGTCAGAATTATATACCAACTATTTCTGCATGTTTCTGGAGGTATTTTGACGCTTAGTAAGAAAGTACTGTCATTGTCTCTTTTGTAGCACTTTTATGCATTTTTCTATTACAATTGTATAAATTAATGCAAACCCAATTTTTATGGAAACGTTAGTGGTGCTTGCCCATTCAAAACTCACTGTCACAGTGTTACAGTGTTTTTGATGGTTGCTAGGGTGTTCTGAATGGTGGCTAGGGGTCAGAGTTTAACACATAAGCTTAGGGGTTTGTTCATATACAGAAAAATAATTATGCACACACAGGCAATAAATAAAAATTCTACGGAAGTGTTAGATGGCCTTGAGGATATTACAAAAATATTTATTTTAGACAGAAATGTTCTGATATCAGTGAAATGCAGGCATTTAGAGGCATTTTCTGGTCCGTAAAAGAAAGCTTGTTTCAATCCTGGCTACAAACTGAGCCAGAACTGAGATGAATGGACCAATCACACATGAAGCTGTCGTTACACCATCACCACCACCACCATATATTTACTTCCAGCACAACAGCATCATTCATCCTCAGACATGGACAGTCCCATGCAGCCTATTGGCCTAAGATGTTTGCAGTGAAGAAAAGGGGGCCAGATGAAGCTGGGAAGGCCATAGAAAGCCTCTCTTTGTGCTTCCTAATGCATTAACATCCTCATGCTCTAATTTAACAAGACATGGGCAAGACATCATTTGCATGAGTGCCTGTTACAAGGTGGTGTACAGAGGAAAGGGACAGACTTGGGTGTCCTGTTCATTGCACCCAAATAAGGAATTCTCAGAAAAGGTGCTCCAGACTTTCAAAATAACTTAATGTTGTATGTACTTGTGTATTTTACGTTTATGGACTCAAAATGAAACTTTTGAAAACATATTGGTGTTCTGATTATGAGTCAACAAGTGAGCTTAAGAAATTTTGGAGAGGTTAACTGTATGTGATGCAGCACTCTTTGTTCTCATTTAGTCTAAAGCCCCGTTCATCCCAATGACAATAGTTTTAATGATAACTCTATAACTAACTATAGGGAAGTCCACTCCAACTAATGGTAATGGCACAGAGAAACAATATCAGTGGAATTACTTTAAGAACGATTTTTTTTTTCTGATGCTGATGAATAATATAACATTGACAATCAGACTCTGACTTTAAAGAGCTTAAGCATTTAAAACGGCAGACGACTGTAGCACAATATGCTCTGTAATAAACAGAGCATTATCATCTGTTGGTGTGGATGCTAGTTATTTTTATAGTTCTTGTTGTGAACAGGCCTTAATTCTATGAGAACAGGGAAGTCCACACCACTATAACGATAACGACACACAGGAATGATATCGTTGGAATCACTTTCAGAACAATTATTTCGAGCTGATGAATGATAAAAACATTGACAGCCAATCAGAATCCACCTGACTTTAAAGGGGTCATATAAAGCGATTTCAAGTTTTCCTTTCTCTTTGGAGTGTTACAAGCTCTTGGTGCATAAAGAAAATCTGTAAAGTTGCAAAGACTAAAGTCTCAAATCCAAAGAGATATTCTTTATAAAAGTTAAGAGTCAGCCACGCCTACCTAAAACGGCTCGTTCTAACACGCCCCCACATATCTACCTCACTATGTGGGAAGATTTACATAACGCCGCCCAAATGTTCACGCAAAAAAAGAAGGCGTAACTTTTATTCTCGCTGAAGTATTGTTGGACTGCGCTTGTCAAAGGAGGGGGCTTTGTTGAAAACGACGTGTTTGAGAGAGGCGGGGCATAGAGGACCTACAATAATGTACAGTATTTGAAAAATTATGTGTTTTTTGAACATTAAAGCATGTCAACATATTCTGTTACACCAAATACACAAAATAATGATCTTTAAAATAGCATCATATGACCCCTTTAAAGAACTCGAGCATTTAAAGCAGCAGGCAATATAATTGCAGTGCACACTTTTAATATACAGAACGATATGGTCCGTAGGTGTGGACACTAATTATTGTTATATTTATTGTTATCTTTTTTGGTGTGAATAGGCTTTCTGTCGTGAGGTAAATACAGTATGTGGTCAAACAGGAAAAATTACCTGAAAGAGGAATCTAAACCAAGATTGCACCTACGTAGCCTTTAGTGGGTGTGTGCACCTACATAGACTTAATGTGTGTTATGACTGTGGTGTGTGTTGACTGTGTAATGTGCACTAAAGATGTCATAGTAGCCAGTTCTTGCAATGGCAGTCTGCAAAATGTATGCATTTGTTTTATTTCATGTTGTATGGTAGAGCACAGTCCTGTTAGAGGAAAGTTCATTCTGTGGCCATATTTGCAACTCCTCCGGGCAGCTATGTCAGGCATGCAAGACCAAGTGACTACTGTGCCTTACTAATTGGGGAAATACCGAATGTCAAAAACTTCTTGTCAAACTAACATTTAAATATTTCGAATCGGTAACGAAATCTGACATGAACTGTCCTATATAAATGTTGTTCCATATGTTCAAACATAGTTAAAAATTGCATATTTCAGGTTGGTATAAAGCCAATCCGCATGAACAGTCGCAAGCGTGCATTTCAGGACACTGATTGTTTCTGTGGGCTGCATCTATGCAGCTGTAGTGATGCAATGACTTAACCAATTGGCGATTGGCTATTAAGAAAGCGCGAGAAATTTGACTATTGTGTGTTGCAGTTTCGCCCATTCATAGTAATATGACTGGACTGAACGGTACAGTATACAGTCTTTGTTTAATGCCAGCAAAAAGACAAAAATTAACACTGTTTACTTACTCAATACACGTTACTCATCTTACTGTGAATGATTTATCGGTGCATGTCATTTTTAAATTTAATCATCAAAATGTAATAATTTAACGTTTCCTTCTCTGTTAATGTCACCACACAGGCAAATACTGTTAGCTAATAGACACTGCATACTTGCATTTGCTTTGAAAACTTGCTTTTAGTCTCGTTTTATGTTAACTTGATGTTGATATATATTAATAAAGACGTCAGTGTGTTTATTTTATATCCTTCTTTTTTACTTTTTTCAAAAGAACTTGTTACTTATGAGTAGTGGTGGGAATCGCAGGGTTATATATATAAACCTGGTAGATTTCAAAATTTACCTGGAGTGTTTTCTCAACCTTTCCTCTCATCTCATCATAAAAACGGAGCCCCGCACACATGACATGCAGGGACAAAATAGCCGTTCACATTGCTGCATAACTCGCACTTGTAATATCTAAAGAGAGAGAGAGAGCATCCAGTTTTGTTGACATAAAACTGGATGCGCCGGTGTTACGAGATTTTCTGTTTCTGAGATTTTTGGTTTCAGTGGGCGGAGCATACATGAATATTCATGAGTTACCCGGACATGATCGTGGATCCATCCGGAACTGAGAATTTCAGTTCACGTCCCTTATATCTCAGCAGGTTTAATGGAATATTTAAAAAAAAAAAAAGGTAA